CCCATGTGTGATGTAGTCTTTGTTCACTCTTTTTTTTTTTTTTTTTTTTTGAGACAGAGTCTCACTCTGTTGCCAGGCTGGAGTTCAGAGATGCAATCTTGCCTCATTGCAATTTCTGACTCCCTGGTTCAAGCGATTCTCCTGCCTCAGCCTCCCGAATAGCTGGGATTACAGGCACACACCACCAGGCCCAGCTAATTTTTTTTTTTTTTTTTTTTTTAAGTAGAGACGGGGTTTCACCGTGTTGGCCAGGATGATCTCAATCTCCTGACCTCGTTATCTACTTGCTTCAGCCTCCCAAAGTGCTGGGATTACAGATGAGAGCCACCACGCCTGGCCTGTTCATTCTTTTTTGTTCTTTATTCTTTACTTTTGTCTGACTAGGTTATTTCAGAAGACCTGTCTTCAAGTTATAAAATTCTTTCTTCTGCTTAATCTAGTTTATTGTTGAAGCTTTTGAATGTGTTTTGTATTTTGTTCAATGAATTCTTCCATCCCGGAATTTCTGTTTGGTCTTTTTTATGAGATCTACCTTTTTGATAAATTTGTCATTCATATCCTGAATTGGTTTTCTAATTTCTTTGTATTGTTTATATGAGTTATCTTGTATATCACTGAGATTCTTTAATATCATTATTTTGAATTCTTTTTCTGGAACTTCATGAATGTCTTTTTCATTCGAATTCATTGCTGGAGAATTATTATGTTCCTTTGGAGGTATAATATCTCCTTGTTTTATTATGTTTATTGTATATTTACATTGATATCTGTGCATCTGGTATAACAGTCACTTATTCCAACTTTTTTGAATTTACTTTTATAGGGGAGGACTTTTTCCTGAAGATGTATCTGTGGTGTTGGTTTGATGTAGCGTTTTGCCTTTGATTCTGGGTGAATACAGCAGTGTAGTCTCTGTATGATTTTTTCATCCGTAAGTATCAGTAGTGCTTGTAATTTCCTCAGTGGCTTAGGGTGTGGTTGTTAGTGGAGGTTGTGGTAAGTTTTGCTGGGGATGAGGATGCTAGGTGGGCCAGTCCTCAATCATTGGCAGGTGCTTGAGGTGGCAGTGGCAGGCTGGGCACGCCTGTGCTTTGGTCCTAGGGTCATGTATGCTGGCCCTGATATTAGCAGGTTCAGTCAGGCCAATTGGACCTCCAGGTGGCTTGCTTGGGTGCCAGCAGTGGAAGAAGTGGGCTGGGTGGCTGGGAGGGTCCTTGGGCTCCTAGGCAGTGGGCATGGTGCTGGGGGCAGCAGGAGCAGTGATGAGACAACGCTTAGGCTCCCAAGTGGTTTGCACTGCTATTGGCAGTGGCTGTGACAGGCCACGCGGGGCAGTCTCAAGGCTTGCAGGTGGCATGGGTGAGTGGATGGTGTGGGTGGGTGAGTGCTAGTTGTGGTGTTTGCAGTAGGATGGGCGGGTTTGTCCTCAGGCCCCCAGAAGGAGTGCTCAGGTGCCAGTGGGCATGAATGGGGCAGGGCCATTCCCAAGCCTCTGGATGGTGTGCTTGGGCACTGGGGGAGTGGGTGGGTTTTAACTGTTTTAACTTGGTTAAGTGGCCCTGTTCTCTGGCCCCTAGGTGGTACATGTGGGTGCTGGCTGTGGTAAGCAGGATAGAGATGGACCCCAGGTCCCCCACACCCCACCCTGGCAGAATGGCTGGGTGAGGGTGGCAGCAACTGCGTGGTGGCCCTGAGGCCCTGCTGGGGAGGGTGGAGTTACCATGGCCACAGTTGTAAACAGCTGACTGGGGGAGCATGTGCTGTGGCTCTATATGGCAGCCGCAAGTGGGGTACCCCATCCTCAGGGTGCTCTTAAATGCACAAAGGCCTTTATACTAGGGGTAGCAGGGTCATTGGCAAAGGCTTGTGCTTTGGCCCTGGCTGCAGTTGAGGATATCAGGGGAGCCTCAGGGATGTGGCGATGCAGGGGCTATTGGGCCCCAGGGCAGGATGCAGTCTGGTGGGGCTGGCATTTCAAAATAGTGCCTTCCTGTAACTGCTTATGACACAGCGGGTGAGTGGAACTCAGTGCACTGCCTCTCTGGAGGTGTGCTGCTTCCTGGTCTCCGGGTGGCTCCCTGTGTTAGCCTCAGGGCCTGTGCGGATCGTGGGGTTCTCCCGTGGCTACGATTGCAGGAGTCTGTGGTGGAAATGTGGGCTGCTGGGGTCACTGACTACTACGTGAGGGAGCCTGGAGAACCTTTATCGCATTCGAGAGCCTCTCTAGGCTCCCAGCTGGTCCTGGCTGAGCAGACTGCCCCATTTCCCTCTTCTTCTTCGCCTCCCATGTTTCCTGTCACTTAGTTTTTGAATTCCAGTGTTCTCTCTTATGTGATCTGTTTGACCTGTGATTACCTACTCGCTATTTCAGTTCTTGTTTGTGGAGGAGGTGGGTACCAGGTGCCTCTAGTCAGCCGTCTTGAAACTCCCCTCTAACTTTTTCTTGGATTTTTGATAACTTCCCAGGTGATGGTGGTTCTCATTTGTCCAAGGAACACACTTTGAGAACCACTGGGCTAGAGTTTGGCAGACCCATCAGAAATGTTTGCATTTATCTATGTAAGATAAAGTATAGAACTAAATGCTGAAAATAGAGTTAAGGAGGAGGGGTGGCTTCCACAGATACAGAGGAGCTGTAATTGGCAGGACTTGATCCCAGACCAGAGTGTGCAGGTGAAGGGGAGGTAGGAGTCTTGACTGGTTTCTAGATTCCTAATGTTGGTAGGCGGATGAAGAATAGTGGTACCTTTATCTCAATATATAGCATAAAGGAGAAGAAGCTGGCTGCTAGTGTTGGGGTGGAACTGATCAATGTGTGTCATTTTAGACCTGTCAAATGGAGATTATGTGGACAATTTAAATGGAGATATCTTTTTGGAAAGTAGGAGACTGCCAAGTTGAAGATGCAGACATGTATGTTTCTACAGGAGAAATTATATAGGTTGTAATGTGAAGAGAATAAGGTACAGAGAACAGAACTATAGGATATGCACATATTTAAGGTGAAATCAGAATAATTCATCTTCAAAAGGACTGAGAAGAAATGTTAGGAGCCCTGGAAAAGAAGTTACTATAAGGGTGTGATCAACATGTTAATACTCTAGGGAGGTCAAATGATACATGGATTGAAACGTGCCTATTGCATTGAGAAACCAGAAAATGATAGAAAACCTTAATAAAAGCATTTTCATCAAGCAGCATGACTGGGCCCAGATTGCACTGACTTGTGGTGAGAAACTGGTTTTCAGGACAGAGTATACACCTTCTGCTTCTCTGATATTAAATTCCTATTTTTTAAGCTCTGAAGAGGACAATGCTATGGATAGAAATACTTCGCCATACTAATAGGTTCATATTCTAGTTATAACCTCATTTTTCTAGGTGGAATTTAGAGAAATGTTTAAAGAGTAAATTTAGAATCAAAATGTATATGTTGTTTTTTCTTTTGCAAAAGCGGTGCCTTTTGGGAGATATTGTGCCTTACCCAGAGGCTTTCAGAAATGATTAGGGCAGGACCGGGCAGCGGTGGTTTACACCTGTTATTTCAACACTTTGGGAGGCCGAGGTGGGTGGATCACCTGAGGTCAGGAGTTCAAGAACTGTCTGGCTAACATGGTGAAACCCGGTTCCTACTAAAAGTACAAAAAAAAAAAAAAAAAAAAAATAGCCAGGCTTGGTGGCATGCGCCTCTAGTCCCAGCTACTTGGGAGGCTGAGGCATGAGACTCACTTGAACGTGGGAGGTGGAGGCTGCAGTGAGCCGAGATCGCGCCACTGCACTCCATCCTGGGTGACAGAGCGAGACTCCATCTCAAAACAAACAAACAACAACAAAAAAGGTCAGGGTGGTTTTTGTGGTTGGTCCTTCTGAAAGTGTTATGTTTTATTACCCACCCCATCCATGCTGGGGCACCCAGAGTGCTATTATTGCTGTTAAGAATATTGTTTTACTCTGTGACTTTGTGTAACGGTTGGGTATGATTATTTTATTACTATTCTGATTGACCCAGCTTAAACCATAAGGGAAGACAGGGTCCACAGATGCAATAGCTGTTAGGGCAGCTGTCACTTCTGGTAATTTGACTATAACCACTTTCTTTCCTTTTCCTCCAGTGTTTTTCTAAGCAGATTTAAAACAAAACATTGGGAGTAAATAGAAAATGCTGCCCTTCACACGATCAGGACCTGGGTCAGTTTCATAAGCAGGATTTCCTGGTGATGCTATTGTCTGGAAAACATGGTCAAAAAAATATCTGTCTGTTCTGTAACAGCCTGCCCACCTCTGTTTTAGGAAACCTTCCCATGGGATCGTGTGCCCTGATTCTTCAAGACTTGCTGGAAATCCAGACTTGAGATTGTGCTGGTGCAGCCCTTTTAGTATGATACTTGTATCCCTCTGTTAATTCGTAGGAAAGTTCTCCCCAAAATGTGGGTCAAATGCAGAATGAGAGGAACTTCCAGTAAAATAGTGAGCTTTCTATGTGACCCAAGTGAAAGCACTTTTTTTTTTGAAATTTTCATGATACAACCAAACTAATCTAGCAGATTCTCTATGTGTGTATTTTTTTTTTTTTTTTTGCCCTTCACTTGTTGACATGTTTCAAGCTTCAGTGTTTCAAGGCTCACATTAAAAAAAAGAACACTTCAAATCTCAGGCTGCAAATGATCATATGTGTAATTGTGATTTTACAGAGATCAGACTAATTTCCTAGACCATTAGAAATTTTACTTGTTGACAGATCAGGCTCTCAAAAGACTGGTTAAAAACATGTCTTTGAGGCTGATGGTGAATAATGGGGGAAAATGATGGATTTTGAAGATTTATGATATAAAAACCAAAAACTCTTCAAACATTAAAAAAACCAACTGTTTTGAATACTTTAGGTAATGATGTGAGGTATTTTCCCTTAATTTGTTCTTCATTTAGGATTTTTTAAAATGCTAGTAAGCATATTGGAGTTCAAATTAACGTTTTCCCCTTTTACTTTCTTTCTCGAGCAGGTTGTCAAGTTATTAAGCAACAAAAGATCACAAGCAGTTGGAATACTAATGTCTAGTCTTCATTTAGATATGAAAGACATACAACATGGTAAGTGTCAGAATAAAAAGTTAGCTTTTGAATATTAAAATTTGGGCTGAAGGATATGATGCTTGGTGGTAAAGTTATTTCAAACTTAGAGTTTCTGTGTAGACTGAGGTTAGTATATTTCCCATAAGTGTGATCAAGCTATCTCCCACGATTGTTTCTGGAAGGATTACTATTAATTTGCCTGAGGTGTTATTTGTATACCTTACTAACAGTCTCATTCTCATGTGACATTATTATCTTAGTCCAGGCTACTATAACCAAGTACCCCAGACTGGTGGGTGATAAATAAGAGAAGTTTATTTCTCACAGTTCTAGGAGGCTGGAAGTTCGAGATCAGGGTGCCAGCATATTCCGTTCTGGGGAGGGCCGTCTTCCAGGTCGCAGACTGCCATCTTCTCCGTGTATCCTCAACTGGCAGAAGGAAGGAAAGAGAGTTCTCTTGGTCTGTTTTATAAAGGGACTGATCCCATGCATGAGAATTCTACCCTTGTGACCTAATGGCCACCCCGTAGGATCCTGTCTCCTAGTACCTTCACGTGGGAGTGAGGTTTGCAACATATGAACAGAAATATTTTCTGTTTGGAATTAGAGTGGTTCTTAATATTTTATAAATGGCTTTAGTGTCAATATTTTAATACTTGAATTCTACTGTACAATTGATGACCATTCTTATGCTGTATCCTCTTATGAACATTTTTGCTGAGAGATACTGCCCAAAGGTGAATAGAGGAATTAAGTGTAAATTCAGAGCCTCCCTTAAGCTGACTAGAACCTAAGAATAGATTTAAAGCAGATTGAATTATCCAGTGGAATGCCAGTTTACCTATTAAAGAAATATGGTTTCAAGAATAACACAGACCTTATAATCACGAAAGCATTTAACTGGCTTTCTAGCTTACCCCTTTACGAATGTGGATTCTATTTGTTGGACTGAAAATCTTGTGTGGGATAATTCATAAATAGCACAAGCTTGGTATGCCTGTCAATTGATGAGTAACTCTTAATCACAATTTCAGTTTTTATTACATTGTTTTGATGGGGAGGAGACTTCCTCAAGCTGAAACATTTGGGGTACTAGTCATCGAAGAGAAGGCCAAGGCTGGCGCCAGGCAGTACTTGGTGTTTCTAAAGCTGGCAGATGTAGCCCAGTTAAGTCATAGGATGAAATCTGAAAATAATGATATGGTTCTTTCCTTCAGTCAAATATTCAACTCGGGTTGAGTTGATAATGAGAACCTTATGAACAAAAGAGTCCGCCTGACATCTGTGTCTGTGGTAAAGCCAGTGAGAGTTCACTGAAAATTTGCTTGCTTGAACATGCAACGCTAGCAATAACATGGCATGAAAGGCGGTAGTTGAAGGGTCATACAGAATCATGCATAGACTTTATCCCATTAGGATGTTAAGTGATTCCTTTAGTCCCTTTGACACCCTGTACACTTTTTTTTTTTTTTTTAAATATGGCGACTTTCCAATTCTAAAGCAGTAAGAGGTTGTGCCCTCCTGCAGGTAAAGTCCTGTTCTGGCTTGGTGTATTGTCTGCAAACAGGATTTAGATGTGTGAATCGCTTGTGTCCTCTAGAGTAAACTTGACTTCTCTCAGGATATGCCTCCACTGAGAAATCCACAGAAGCATAAACATCATTGATTTTGGATATAGAAGTGGCCACAGAATTTATCTAGACCTCCAGTGTCATTTTTTAAAAATATTTTTTATTTCTATAGGTTTTTGGGGAACAGGTGGTATTTGGTTACATGAGTAAGTTCTTTAGTGGTGATTTATGAGATTTTGGTGCACCCATCACCCGAGCAGTATACACTGAACCCGAGTTGTAGTCTTTTATTCCTTACCCCCTCCCACCGTTCCCCCAAGTCCCCAAAGTCCATTGTATCACTTTTGATGCCTTTGCATCCTCACAGCTTAGCTCTCACTTATGAATGTGAGAACATACAATGTTTGGTTTTACATTCCTGAGTTCACTTAGAAAAATAGTCTCCAGCTCCATCCAGGTTGCTGCGAATGCCGTTAATTCGTTCCTTTTTATAGCTGAGTAGTATTTCATCATATGGAATATGCCACAATTCTTTATCTACTCATTGATTGATGGGCATTTAGGCTGGTTCCATATTTTTGCAATTGCAAGTTGTGCTGCTATAAACAAGCGTGTACAAAAGTATCTTTTTCATATAATGGCTTCTTTTCCTCTGAGTAGACCAGTAATAGGACTGCTGGATCAAATGGTAGTTCTACTTTTAGTTCTTTAAGGAATCTGCACACTGTTTTCCATAGTGGTTGTACTGGTTTACATTCCCACAAGCAGTGTAGAAATGTTCCCTTTTCACTGCACCCATGCCAACATCTATTATTTTTTTAATTTTTTAAAATATGGCCATTCTTGCAGGGGTAAGGTGGTATCCTATTGTGGTTTTGATTTGCATTTCCCTGATCATTGGTGATGCTGAGCATTTTTTCATGTTTGTTGGCCATTTGCATATCTTCTTTTGAGAATTGTCTATTTATGTCCTTAGCCCACTTTTTGATGGAATTGTTTGTTTTCTTCTTGCTAACTTGTTTGTATTCCTTGTAGATTCTGGATATTGGTCCTCTGTCAGATGTATAGATTGTGAAGACTTTCTCCCACTCTGTGGGTTGTCTGTTTACTCTGCTGACTATTCCTTTTGCCATGCAGAAGCTCATTAGTTTAGTTAAGTCCCACCTATTTATCTTTGTTTTCATTGCATTTGCTTTGGGTTCTTGGTCATCAAGTCTTTGCTTAAGCCAATGTCTAGAAGGGTTTTCCCAGTGTTATCTTCTAGAATTTTTATAGTTTCAGGTCTTAGGTTTAAGTCCTGGACCCATCTTGAGTGGATTTTTGTATAATGTGAGAGATGAGGATCCAGTTTCATTCTCCTACAGTGTCTTGCCAATTATCCCAGCACCATTTGTTGAATAGAGTGTCCTTTCCTCACTTTATGTTTTTGTTTGCTTTGTCAAAGATCAGTTGGCTGTAAGTATTTCACTTTGTTTCATTGGTCTATGTGTCTGTTTTTATACCAGTACCATACTGTTTTGCTGACTATGGCCTTATTATATAGTTTGAAGTCAGGTAATGTGATGCTTCCAGATCTGTTCTTTGTATTTAGTCTTGCTTTGGCTATGCGGCATTTTTATTGACAGGCAAAAGAAGACCTGTGAGTGCTCCGGTTTCCCTCTCAGTATCACACAGCTCATTAGTGGAACAGGTTGAACTTGCACTTGGGCCCCTTCATTAACCAGTATTTTTTTTTTTTCATTCAGACACACTGCTTCTCCAAGATTGTGCTTTTCTTATCACCAGCACTGGTTTCTCTAAGACAAAGTTTATGTAATATTCTAATAAACAGCAAGAATCATTTTCTCTCCTCTTCTTTGCTGTCAGTACTCTAGGGTTGCATTTACTTTGTAACATTTATATTTCAAAGTGCTCCGTTAGAGTAATTCGTGTGTAAGGCTTGGATTCTAGGTATCAAAGTTCTAACCCTGGTCCTGCTACCACATCTACTGAGCACCACTTGCTCAGTCTGTTATTTGAATACAGGTTATTTCCCACGATAATAGATGTGGAGCATTCTCGGCAACACATACATTCAAAAGGCAGAGAGGAGAGAAGAGGTCAGGTTCTTGACTCAGTTCATTAATGCGGCAAATATAAGGAGGCATTCCAAAATAATTACCTGTGTATGTTTAGTATATAAAAGTTATAGTGAAGGCCTGAGCTGCTGGCTCTTTGGTAATGTTCAAACTGGCCTACAGTTATAATAGCTCTGAAAAAATCTCACTCTGTGGTTTACACTAATTTGAAGTCTGAGAGGAAAGTGCCTTCCAGAGAAGATTTACCATTTGTGTGTGTGTGTGTGCTAGGGTCTGGGGGTACTGTGGGTTTAGGATCACCGTGAATCAAGCTTTGGGGGGTGTGGGGGGTCCCTTCAGCCAGTGCTAACTGTATGTCCACGGAATGGGTTGGTTCCCCTCAGTATAGCCCTTTGAGTCCCATTTCATTGTGGGGTATGTCTAGAATCTCTATGATAAGTGGGTTCTGGGCTTTGATATTTGGCCCCTGCCACTGTGAAACTGTTGAGAGAAAGTTGACATTTGTTAGGATAGGCAGATACACTCAGGGCAAAAGCAGTTTGCGAGCTGTGTCACTTCTCTGAGTTCTCTCTTCATTTTGTTTAGCACGGTAATTCTTTATTATTTTGTCAGCTCTTTGATGTCTTTGTGATATTTTACAAACACGTTTCACTCAGCATTTTTAGTTGTTGTTAGTGGGGGACTGATTTCAAATGATTTCGGCCTGTTATTCCCATAAATTGATAGTATAAGAGTATCCTACAGCTTCATAGTGGTAGTTTAGTTTTGTGAAAATTGATTAAATTTTTTTTACAACATTTGGTCCATATTTCAGGGGTCAGTGTGCTCTTCACACATCTTAGGTCCATTTTCATAGGTAACAGTAGTTGCGAAAGAATTTGCAATTCCATAAGGTTCAGCTTTATCCCCCAACAATGTCACGGTTAGATAGAAATACCATATAATTTATCATCGTAACTGGGATACTTTAAGACTGGAAGGGGATGTCATTGATAATGTTGCCTGGATAACAAATGTAAAGTGAAAACTTTTCCTTTTTTTTTTTTTTTTTTTTGAGACAGAGTCTCGCTCTGTCATCCAGGCATAGTGCAGTAACGCAATCTCAGCTCACTACAACCTCTGCCTCCCAGGTTCAAGCGATTCTCATGCCTCAGCCTCCTGAGTATCTGGGATTATAGCCACCTGCCACCACACCCAGCTAATTTGTGTTTTTAGTAGAGATAGGGTTTCACCATGTTGGCCAGGCTAGTCTCAAACTCCTGACCTCAAGTGATCTACCCGCCTCGGCCTCCCAAAGTGCTGGGGTTACAGGTGTGAGCCACCTTACCTGGCCCCAAAAACTTTTCAAATACGCTAGTAGTATTGTCAC